GGGGAAATCATAGAAAAATGACAATGGCCACAACGGCAGGCAAGGTGTTCTCACTGTCAGTGCGGTCAATTGGCTGACGCGTTTCGGGGACAAATCCCTTTCCTCAGAGCTGATGACCAACCTCTGATGCAGATGTATGATGAATGGGAAGTAAGAGCCTTGCTGTTGATGGTCTGAGGAAAGGGATTCGTCCCCGAAAACGCGTCAACCATTTGACGGTGAGAACACCTTGCCTGCCATTGTGGCCATTGTCATTTTTCTATGCTTTTTAGATACATGCTTCGTCTGTGAGTATGTTTTTTTTATTATTCTTTCACTCCTACAATAAACCTTGGATAATGCACTAGGTGTGTGCGCCACCTGTTTTCTCTTTACTGCATATACAGACTGATTTTTCTGTTGTGAGTTTAGTAACACTTTGGGGTTTATTTACTAAAGCTGGAGAGTCCAAAATCAGACTCCCTTCTGCATAGAAACCAATCAGCTTCTAACCTCAGCTTGTTCAATGAAGCTTTGGCAATGAAACCTGGAAGCTGATTGGTTTCTATGCAGACGTGAGTCTGATTTTGGACTCTCCAGCTTTAGTAAATAAACCCCTTTATGTCTAGGGGTAGAGGAATAAGGCATAATATCTTTAAACATGATCAACACCCTGACAAGCTTCAGGCACTCGCCTCTTATTCCTGACCCTCCGGGTTGTGTTTGGGCCCTTGCCGCCATCACAAACAATTCAGGGCTATTGGTCTTGCATTGTATGTGATGATGTTAGCCTATGACTGCTAACTGGAGCAGAGAGGAGGCTTTGGGGAACAGTCACACAGGTGGAGTGAGCCTGTCAGAGCAAGGAATAAGTCAAATGTTACTCTTTATTCCACTACTTCTAGACTTAACTCCACTGCAAGAGTATTTTTTGTGTAATTCCCAGAGTTTAGCTTTAACTCATGGAATTTTAACTTCCTAGGATCTGCATTGTAAAACATTGAACAGTAAGCTGACACACTATGGTTACTGTTTCTTTTTACTATATTAATAATGTGTTCCTTTGCTGGTTTTCTCAATCTTGTAATTCTGCCCATGTATTGTTTGCCATACATACAGACATTCCAGTATATATGCTACATATCTGGAGGCACAGATTATCAGTTATTTCAAATTCTTCACTGCGACCTCAGAGGAAAACGTAATGTCTTCTTTTTATTTTTTACGCCTGTTTTGCGCCTGTTCTACTTTTTTGCCTGGAAAAATACCTTTGACATTGTTAATAGTAGCTGTTTCTTTTAGAAGGCTTTTTATGGCACTTGACATGAGAATGGTTCAGTGTGGTGTGCATTTTGGTGGGCTAAAACTCATGTGGATTGTTGTGCACTAGGATGTCATTTAAAATGAATATCACTGCAATACACCGCAAGACACCTTTGCCATGCATTGTGGCAATGTGCAGTAAAATGCTTGTTTTACTGTGCACTACTCTAATGCACAGATCTGCCTTACTCTTCTGGTCATTTCCCCTCAGTCTTCACCACTATACCCTTTCTTAGAGAACTTTTTCTCATATTTCTGCCTGTCTATGAAATTTGAGTGAATTAAAGATAATAAAAAGGTGTTTACGTGCTTTTAATCCCATTATTCATTTATAATTTAATTGAAGGTACAAGCGTGTGATGCATACAGTTGATTACAAAGCTTATTGTAAATGCCTACTAAAAACAGCTGTCAGAGTTTGGGGCACTGGTGCTATAAAGTAATGGAATATGTTTAATATGTCCCTATGAGAGCTGGAGATTATCCAAGTGGCATGCACCCCCCTGGCACTAAGAAGAAATGCTGCATTGAATATGCATGCTTCCATTATCGTATTTTTATATAGAGACTAATAAAACATAAATGATACAACCAGGCATATGTTGGTGAGGATTTGTTGCAAGATAATACTGCACTAGAGAGTGATACTCCGACACTCATATTGTAAACATTTTATCTCTCATGCTCTAAGAGACGGTATAAAAGATAAAACTGTTTGGAATAGGACAGTTCATCTACTGGACACTGCACAAAAATTATTAACAGTTATTCAGATTTCAGTTGGAAGAGAAAATGGGCTGAAAACTGAACTTAGCACAACTCTAAGGCTTTGTTCACACCATACAGGCAGAAAAACTGATGTAAACTGATGCACAGATTTCACTTGCAGAGCCATCAGTTTACATTAGTTTTTATGTGTGCTCCAATTAGTTTTCTACATGTTGCAGATTCTTGCGCAAAAAATATCTGCACGTGATACTAGTTTTGTGGTGTGAACAGGGCACATAGAGAACAATTGATTTCATTGTGCCCTTGCAGAATGCTTACAGAAACCATGGTGTGAATGGGCCCTTTAGTGTACCAGTGACAGGAAAAAAGGCATTTAGCATGAACTTTATCTCCTGTTGTGCAACAGAAATTCATCTGCTAGTTCCACTGGCTCATGCAGATTTTTCTGAGTATGTTGATGTTATCTGCAAGTCAGTATTTGCATATATTTAGCCACTCCCCCACACATCACCTGCCAAGACATGGGAATGATGATACACTGCTGTGGCAGGTACTGCACTGCAGGATGGAGGAGGGGGCATGCTTGCTCTCCTTTAAAGAGAAGTGTGGGTTTAAAAAAAAAACAAAAAAAACACATCATGCTCACCTAGATGGCTGCAGCATGGATCCGATGCTGCAGCCGTTCGTCCGCTGGCTCTACGCTGATAACTGAACAATTAAACACTGCTGATCGCTCAGTTCTTAGGTTCAGTCTGAGCAGAGAGCAGTGACTATTAGTCAACGCACTCTGCTCTGCCCCTCCAGTGCTCCCTGGAGTTGCGGACTGTGGAAGGGGCAGGAGCGACTGCCTTAGGCTGTCAGCACTGCACTGAGATAGTGAGCCAGCTGCCTGTCAGGCATCTTGGCGGATCCTGATATTGTTGTCAGGGTTCCTGCAGAGCTTGCATCTACTCTGTGATGTCAGCCAACCGGGCACTTTATCCAACTGTCTTCTGAATCTGGGTCACAGGAGTGCAGAACTAAGTGCACTCCTTTGGCCACACTTCTTTATGATCCAGCAGTCTTTGGGCCCCGAGTGGCCTCTTCTGCATTGGCAGGGAGGGAATTTACTTATACAACATGTATGATTAAATATCTTATGGTGCCAGAGTTCACAGTGGTACTGGTATACTTTAAGGTAACCTTAGACAAGGCATATCACGTACTGAAACAGGGTTCATGCCTGTGGAAAGGCTCTGATCCACCTAGCTAGCTAGCTGATGTTAGCATCTTTGCCCTGCGGCATTAGGGACCTCGGTTCAAAATCCAACCAGGGCACTACTTGGACGGAGTTTGCATGTTCTCTCTGTGATTTTATGGGTTTCCTCTGGGTCCACCAGTTTCCTCCCATGCTCCAAAAATATGCTGGTAGGTTAAGGCTACTTTCACACTGAGAAGTTTTTAAAGCGTTTTTGCATTAAAAAAAGCACCTGAAAAGCTCAAGAAAAATGCTTCCCTGTGTATGTGAATGTATATCTATGTATGTTTTCACACTGAGGTTTTGTGCTTGTGGTGCAGTGTAAAAACTTCTGCTTGCAGCATCTTTGGGGCATGTTTGGTGAGTTAAAAAAAGCCACAAAAAAACGCCTCTTCCCATTGAAATCAATGGAAAACGCCTGAAAAGTGCCTCAAAAATGCCTCTGAGAAGCGTTTTTGGTGCAGTTTTTTAGTCACATGTCCTTTAAAAACACTCAGAAAATGCCTATGTGTTTTTGCGGTGGAACACTGTGTAAGTAGCCTTAGTGGCCCCCTGTTTTAATTGCCCCTAGTATGTGTATGTATATGTGTGTATGTGTGTGTGTGTGTGTGTGTGTGTGTGTGTATGTATATATATATGAGATGTAGACCTTAGATTATAAAACTCCTTTAGTGCAAGGATTGATATCAATGTGCAATATGTAAAGCACATGTAAATTGGCACTGCATAAAAAAAATAAATGTTGGGGTAACTATTTGGACTGCTTATAAAACTATCTGCCCTAATCACTATGGCACCTTCCCTGGGAAAACCAGCACCAGCAGCTTGTGTCATCAACCATCCCCCCTTTTTTCTCATAAACAGGAACTTTCTGAAGAACAAAACTTTGCTGTTGATGGAACAGCATTTCCCACTACTCTCATTTGTATGTGGCATTAATAAATAAAGCTCACCCATCGCATGGCTAGTCTACTGCAAGTGTCATTAGCATGGTCATTGCATAACATAGAGGTACTCATATACAGTTCAGAAGGCCCCAATAACAGTGCATATGTTTCAGAATAGAGAAGTATGAGCAGCATCTTTTGGTCTTTGGCACTATGACAACTTGAGATATAAAGAGATATACAGAGTTCTCTGTTACATCATTTGTTTAAATTTTTTTAAATTATTTTTTTTACTAAATACCTTATTCTGTTTTCCATTACATCAGAATGAGAACTTCTATTTAATAGAAAGCTTGGCAGCCATTGCCTGCTAATACAACTTATTGTCTATACAAGTGTACTAGTATGTGCAGGTGTTAATAGCAAAATTCCTGCAAGTCACTCACATTTAGCCCCTGTCAACAAAAACATGACAGCCATTGACCACATTGATTACTAATAATGCAGACAGTGATTTGACAGTATATGTGTTTGTTGTAGAATAAAGGCATAGTCACACAGAGAGACTCCCGGGAAGACTGAGATGGAGTTCTACAGCCACTTTTGTCTCATCACACAGCAGAAGCAAAAGAATGTTACGTCACTTCCGTTTTTAATGTGAAACGTCACTTTCACACCTGCAAATCATGTAGTGTTTCCATTTTTTTTTTCTAACCCCTGTAAAATTCCTCTCAACATATTTTTAATGTCCATGCAAATACTGTGTAAATGATAAATATTGTATAAATACTATGTATATGACAACCTTTTCTCTTATTGTTTATAGACTGAAGGAACTGGCTGTCATGGAGGCCAACTCCCACCCTGTCCATTTCCTGAATGTGGCTCACACTTATGTTCCCAGTGCCAATGTGGAATGTCACTACACCCTGCCAGCTGGCATGAAGGGCTCCACCAGGGACTGGATTGGAATCTTCAAAGTGAGAGAATGAGTCTGTGTTTTTTAAATGAACTAGCAGAAGTGTGCGTAATGACTGACAGGTAGAAAGAAATTAAATGATGAAGTGTGTAAGTGTAAAAACAAAATAAAATGAAAGTATAGTGACAACCAATTTTTTTTTTAATTTAAATAGGGTGATGGAGCTTCTAGCTTTTCCTCACTCTACTGAAAAACCGTTTCATTGCTATTGAAATACCTGTTGGAGAGCTCCTTATTTCTAGGCCCAGTGATATTAAATGATGGGAAAGTCTTCCAGGAGGCCTATAGACAGCAAAAACAATTGATGGCGGTTCCAAGCGACTGTCTGATGAGTGACTGCCACTTAGACATTGCATTGCTTTTAATCATTCTGAGCTTACTATAGACTGAAATAAAAGGTGCAGTAAAAAAACTGTCAGTACATGCACAGAATCTGTATATAATGAACAGGTGTAGCTGTCCCCATGTACATGTTTAAATGAAAACTCACTAAAACACATTTTCAACTCATCAGTATGCTTGTTTACATTAAATTGAATATGTCACTTTTCCCATTCAGGTAGGCCATTCTTGATAGGACACTCCACCCATTGATACCGTCTCTGCCTTTTCCACCATTCTCTGGGAATGATAACAAATATCTGTCTTTTGTCCTTAAGGCCTGAGTTGCCAAATGCCAGATGCACACGTTGAGAGAGGGTAAAAGGTTATTAACATAGACACAGCGCTTTCATAAAGTGTAGACTCTTCACTCCTGTATTAAAATGGAGAGGAGGCATAGTGCGGGGTAGGTAAGTATATGTATTTAGTCACATCACTTACCTCTAATGAAGTATGTCTCACATTGTGCAGGCTCTTTGGGCAAAACAGTAGTACAGATGGCCCGATAGGGAAGTGCTTCCTTTTTGCTTCTCTATTGAGAAAAGTTCTTTCATTGATTACAAGATCTGAATGTGGGAGAGTCTGATCAGTCACAGGATTTTCTACCCATTCGCAGATCATGTTACAGGCAGTGTAGTCAATGAAAGAACTTTTCTCAGTAGAAGAGAGGGCAAGATGAGGCGTGTCCCCACCGGACCATCTGTACTGCTGTTCTTCCTGACGAATCGAAGCTGGCATCCATTGCAGTGCTGGAAATGCAGCAGCAGGAAGAGGACAGGGCAGCCCTGCAGTGAAGATTTCTCTGGGAGTCAGCTGCCTGCAACATGTGGAACATACTTCATTACAGGTAAGTGATGTAATTAAAACTTATGGGATATTTTTAGCTAAATATTTGCTTCAGTACCAAAATAATGTAATTTTCCATCTCTTCATCAGAATATGTAGTGAGATAGTTTGGGGTATGGGAGCATGCAAGCATTCACCATTCCAGTAATCACCCCAAGGCCAGCAATATTATAGGTGGTCAAGAGTCCTGGGGTTAAACTCTTAGATAAAGCTGGCAGCTCCAAGCAGCATTAGCACTTCCTTTTTACACATCTCAACCAGAAGTGTTGTTTTTTTCCAATTATAGGCTTGGGTAAAAAACATCACAGAAAGAGGAGTCATGGAATATTTAGAGAAGCAATATGTGGTTCAGAGAGCAACACCTAGAAAGAGTGTAAGTGTATGAGGTAATTTAGGGGTTTTGAGAAGACAATTTTGTTCCCCTCATTTCCAGCATAAACATTATCCACCTATATCAAGCCATTAGTTGTTAGGATAAGCCCAGTTCTCATAACCTTCATTTATGTCCTGTCAGAACTTTTAATCCATTTACCTTAAAATTGTCTTTGTGCTGCTTAAGTCAATATTTTCAAATGTTTGTTGGTACTGAATGTCTTTGTTCCTTGGCAGGTAAGCGGCTCCTCTATACATGACTATGACACTTTTGTCTGGGCAGCCTCTTCAGAATCTTCTGTGGAAGAATCAATATCTCATTGCAGTGTGCAGTTTCAAGGTTAGTCATTAGAACCTCTCTCTTGTTTTTACTGCTATCAGAGAGATTTCCCCTCTTTTTCTGTCATTCTATCCTTCCCCTACTCTACTAAAGAAAAAAGGTTTTATTTCTGTCTCAGTTGCTGGTAAATGTTGTCAGCAGGTCAGGAAGTGAGGGGCTAATCTCTCTAATGAAACCCCAGAGAAACAACTCCTGGTGTTCTAACCCTTGTTCACTCTGTCCAAAATGAAAAAAAAGTTGTGGCTGGACACACTTTAATCTTCTAGTATATAGTAGTGTCAAAAAACAGAGCCATTTTGTCATGAGGTATGAGAAATGTAAATATCTTAATGGCTCTGCTATTTGATAATGTTTTCCACTCTTAGAAGCTGGAGAGTGTATGTGGTCAGTCAGATGACAAGGCAGTAACAATCAGATCTCTAACCCCAGGCTCTCAAGTTGAAGCGTAAGAATCAATGTAAGTAAATAAGGGAAAGCAGACATCTTTCTTTAGTAGAATGTACTGTTATAATTTAAGTTGAATATTCATTCAGAAATGACTAACGAACCTGCAAAGGTTGGCGATATTACGTGCTTACTATTCCAGTCTTTACAACCTGGCTTGTTGTTCACATTTGTACAACAATCATAGTGAGAAAGAATTTGTGCTTGTCCTGAATGCTTTTGTGTTCATTTTTTTCAATAAAACACCTGACACAAACAAGTGGAAACAAAAAAAAAAAAATCACACACTACATTGCCAACATTAAAGGGACATTGTCATTGATTACAAAAATCCATGTCACACTTTCTTCTGTACGAAACCGAAAAACAATGCATAGGTATTTGGAATGTACCGTAAATAAATGTATGATTAATTTATCTATAGCCTACTATCTTCCACACCCCGGTGAACAGCAGTACCAGTTTCGCTATGTGGATCAGCATGGAACTGTGAAAGGCATTAGTGAACCTTTTGTGATCAGTGAGCCACGACCAATGGAAGACCTGGTCACCTTGGAGGATGAAGAGACTTCTCTGGACATGATTTTGGTTGTACCGAAATCTGCTTTCCTACAGGTAACTTGTAAAGTTTTAGGGTTGCCAGACACAGCAATATAATGTAGACATTCCTGTCCAAGAACTGTGGGCTGAGACATCTGCCTTTCCTCAAACCTAGTCAAAAAGAATTATAAAACATGTGTTCTATAGTCAGGATAAAAAATTGGTAGATGCACGTATAAACTGCAATCATAACAAGAGCCAAACTACTGCTGACTCCACCCTGATATAAATTGGTGTGGTCATTGAAACTCATCAAAATACTGTTGAAACAATCAAGGGTAAATTACCCCAAAGGAGTTTTCTAAAGGGACCATGTAGCTTTATAAAGAATGGCTTTACTGAAAATATGGTTTCGAAAATTACATGTACAAAAAATGAGCTAAAACCACTATCCACCACCACACTAAGTCAAAAAAAGACAATGTTGTCTCACCATGCAAGCAGCTGCTCATTCAGCCCACATTCAAGCAATGACAATGATGTAAAATACCCTAAGAAAGTGATTAATAGTAGGACTAAAAGAGGCTATGTATACGCTTCCCACTATGATGCACCCTCCTGATGTAAGTCACTGTAAAGGAATCATACACAGCATGTCACTCACTATGCACATTGGGGACAGTTGCAGTCATAATTGGCTCCTAAATGCACATAGGGCGGCCCATGATAACCCGGTTGGTAATTAAACAGTCGTAAATAAATTGCCTTGCTAAACCATCATTATTGACAAATAAGTACATAAATAAGTACATAAACAATCATAATAAGCAGAAATGATCCCTTCAGACTATCCCCATTTTATATGTCTCTCCTACAATCAGTCCATAAAGGAACAAACTGGGGAGCAAAAAACCATATGGACAATTTTATTAAAAGTATTGAATTCCACTCACATTTATGTAGACAAATAAGCGCTGTATACAAATATAAGACCTTTGGTCACGGGAACCAATTCAACCTCCTGGTACTCAGAAATAGCGTGATGATGTCAGGAACACAGACTCTACCCGACGTGGTTCATCACAAATGACCATCCAAAGAGGGGAGGAACCTCAATCAATCTCGTAATCAAATAAAAAATGGCCACCGCAATAACCAGACCTCGATATGAATTTAAAAATGGCTGCCGGTTTGGTTAACCAAGCCTCGGTTTCAATTCAAAGTTGGCCCCTTATCGTCCAAACCTCGCTCTGAGATAACTTAACCTCCGATATGGCCACCAATATTTATCGACATATACATACATATCTTTATAAAAGATGAGAATTTATAATCTGAAACAAAATATTGCTCCAGCTCATCTTTAATATGAAACTGCATAGCAGTCTTAAAGACCATATCAAAAGCTCTTTTCCATCATATAAACGTATTTTAAAATTACCCTATTTGGATGGATCCATAAAAAACACCCTAACAATTAATATCTAAACTAATAATATATAGTATTACAACGATGACATGATTAAGCATTACTGATAAATTAATATCCCACTCAACATTCATTCCGTGAGGGGAAAAAGAGCGAACCCAAGACTCTATCATTTTTAAGGACTCCCCAATGTTTTTTAAATATATTTTTTATCTGTCTATGCTGAGTCAAATATGTGGAAATGAAAGACCACTTGAATTTATCGGATTCCTCTTGCTTAGTTTTATCTAACAGCAAATGTTCCCTACTTATATGCTTAATATTTGATATTTCTTTATCCAATATATGTTCATCATAACCTCTTTCAACAAACTGCTTCTTTAGAGTCATAGCCTGTTTCACATAGTCGTCTAAAAAAGAACAATTGCATCTCAACCTAAACAATTGAGTACTGTCCGTGATACTTTTTTTATTTGCACTAACATACAATTTTGAGGACAAGCTTTCGGGGTATGTCCCCTTCTTCAAAGTCCAAACAGTACTATTACAAATCACAAAGTTTAAGCAGAATGTTAGAAGGGATTGAGGAAAAAAAAAAAATTAATAAACAAAAGTATAAAAATAACATTTTGGACAAGAAGGAGAAAGCCTACCTTGTCCCATTAGCTCCATGTATCTCATCTCAACCTTATAAAAACTGGCTATGATTTACAGATTTCAACCATGCTTTGTGGTGACATACTGTCAGTAGAAATAAAATAATTGCGATCAGTGGACTTAAAAAACGTTCTGGTCAACAATTTATTATTTAATATAATTTCTAGATCCAAAAACTGTATAGAGTCACGATTCGCTTGATAAGATAATGATATTCCCCTGTTATTACTATTTAACTCAGCCATAAAGGACTGTAGAGCTATTGGGTCTCCATCCCAGAGGAGGAAGATGTCATCTATATACCTCACCCACAGCAAAAGCTGGGGTCTCTCTCGAGAATAGACAACATCCTCCTCCCACTTGGCCATACACAAGTTGACCAAGCCACTCTCTTTCTTTGGATAGAATACTGGTTATCAAACCAAAAATAGTTGTGTTGAGTAGCAAACAATAAAAGTTCCATGATAAATACCTTTTGTGACTTGGGAATCTGCTTCATTCATAATATAATATTCCACTGCTCTCAGTCCCAACTCATGCGGAATGCATGTATATAATGATGCTACATATGCCATTACCAACAGTGTCCCATCTCTATCCACCATATCATCCAAGAGTCTGATAGCATCTTTTATGTAAGAGGGTACATTTCCCACAAGTGGTTGCAAATAAAAATCAATGTACCTACCTATCCTAGCTGTAATAGAATCTATTCCACTGATAATAGGAAGCTCCGGAGGGTGTTCAAGGTCCCTGTGAATTTTGGGAAGGTAATAAATCGTGGGAATACATGGAGCTAATGGGACAAGGTAGGCTTTCTTCTTCTTGTCCAAAATGTTATTTTTATACTTTTGTTTAAAAATTTTTAACAATTCTTTCTTGTGCAAAGAAGTGGGATTACTTTTTAATACTGTAAATGTGTCCCTATCATTCAAGAGTTTACACATCTCTATCTGATAATCCTGTTTATCCAACACTCCACAATGTTACAGTCTTTTCGCCGGATGGCGACGAGTATGGCCATCACTGCTGGTAAGATCTCTGGGAACTGAAGAAGCCCAAGTTGGTTAGACAAAACATGTTGGATTCCATGTCTTTACGTATGTGACGTACGTGACGTCACCACACACAGCGGCTGTCTCACTTGGGCCCCAATTCATCCTATGGGTTAACATGCCACCTGAGCCTTCCATGCTACCCTCGAATATCCATATACCTATATGATCCAGAGATCTTACCAGAGGCGATGGCCACACACGTTGCCATCCAGCAAACGGCGAAAAGACTGTAACATCATTACATCGATGTAGCCGACAAACATCCAACTCAAAACGCTGGGTGAACTGAGGTCTATGGCCCTTATATATTGGTGTTTTTAGAGCCCTACTCTGCCCTATATTGGATGATATTTGAGGCTGTTGGAATTTGGTTGATTCCTGTGGGACATTTATTGCCTTTATACCATTCTGTACCCGGACTGTGAATCATCACAGTGGACTATTTAATTACCAACTGGATTATCATGGGCCGCCCTATATGCATTTAGGAGCTAATTAGGACTGAAACTTGCTCTCTTGTGTCTTCCTTTTATGGGCTGGTTGAATACATGCATCGGAGAGACATATAAGATGGGGATAGTCTGAAGGGATCCTTTCTGCTTATCATGATTGTCCAGCATCTTTCCTCTGCTTGAGAGTTATGGTGGATACACATCTCCAGGCCATTACATTCATGCGTTTATGATTCTTATTAGCTTAAGGGTCCAATATGTTCTGGTAAGAGTCCTACCAATACATGGTGGTGGTGCACTTGTTTTATTTGAAGACACGTGGTGTTTGATTACACACTATCAGAATATTGGGACTTTTTTCTATGTTTACTTCAGTCGGGACTTTGATTATATGTTGACGTTTTTTACACAGTTTTCATTATTTATGTACTTATTTGTCAATGATGGTTTAGCGTGGCAATTTATTTATATCTATTTAATTACCAACTGGATTATCACGGGCCGCCCTATGTGCATTTAGGAGCTAATTATGACTGCAACTGTCCCCAATGTGCATTGTGAGTGACATGCTGTGTATGATTTATTTACAGTGCATCATAGTGAGAGGCGTATACATATACATCCGAATGCTGCCCACCACTTACCCATTACTTTCCCAGACCTCTTTTAGTCCTGCTATAATCACTTTCTTAGGGTATCATACATCATTGTCCATGCTTGAATGTGGGCTGAATGAGGAGCTGGTTGGCGGACAAGCCAACGTTGTCTTTTTTTAACTTAGTGTGGTGGTGGATAGTGGTTTTAGCTCATTTTTTGTACATGTAATTTCCGAAACCATATTTTCAGAAAAGCCATTCTTTATAAAGCTACATAGTCCCTTTAGAAAACTCCTTTGGGGTAATTTACCCTTGATTCTTTCCTCAAACCTGCTGGGACAGCTATAATTTTTCTTACTACCCAAGTGACAGTTAATAGTGGTGCAGCATTCACTCTCAATTCACTCTCACTGCTACATTTTTATTATAATATCATGGTGTTTTAATTTGTAACTGATATTGCGACCTTTCTGCAAAGGTTTTATTACTTAAATGCAGAGTTACAAGCGAAGGAAGATTCGAAGAATTTAACACATTTGCTTTTAACTCTGCATTTGAGCTGAGGCTGTGCATAACTGCTCTTGAGCACAGTCTTTGGAAATGTAAGCAAACCTTTCTCAGGGTTTGATCCGAAGCCACTCTCCTGAATACAGCCTCAGCATTGTTTATGTATGTGCCTTGAGCAGGGGCGGACTGACAACTCATGGGGCCCCCGGGCAATAGGGGATCATGGGGCCCCTGTGTCTTTGCCCGAACTCAAAAAAGCCTATAAAAAAAGGTACCAGGGGCATCTCATGGGGCCCCCTACTGACCCCGAGTCCTCGGGCAGTGCCCAAGTTTCCAAATGGTAAGTGCTGCTGAACTGTGTGCTGGTGTGTCAGATGCCTGGTACCCCACTGCACTCCGGGTTTCCTTCTGCTGGGCCTTGTGTTCTATAGTGATATAGAGGTTAGTGCATGAAGCCACTGAGTTCTGCTGGAGCACTGGTATTTGACACTCCCAGTAATGCCAAATGTAGAAAATCTTACAGCAACATTATCTCTTATCACAGGAGTGGAAGGGCAGCTGGAAAGGTGAGTGTAAACTGCTTCCTTTGCAGGGAATAGTAGTGTTCATCTTTTTAAAAAAGTGAGAGTTAGAATTAGACTATAGCTCTCCTTTATCTCATTGTGTTAAATATTGAATCATCAGTTCATGTTATATGTTTTCCTTCTACATATTCAATTATACATCCTTACTATTGGCTGTAACCTTCTGATTGAAATGCTTGCCCTTACAGCAACAGCTGGAGTTCTCTCAGCAGGAGAGGAATGACCTTATGAGGGTTAGGCTCACACTGGAAGAGGTGGTGAGCACTCTGAAGAAGAAAGTCCAGCACCTGGAGGCTGCTCTGGAGGCTTCAGACAGTAAACATTCAAAGCTACACCAACAGTATCAGGTACACATGTCCTCATCTTTCTTAGTACAGAACTTGGTTACTTTGTTCTCTTCCTGTTGAGAAATTTTCCCTTTCTGCCTAGAATACAAACACATACACATACTTGACTACCTGGGACAACATAAAACCTAATTGGTTTGTATTGCATCAGGTCTCTTTTCTGTCTACTTTTTATATATAATATATAGTATATTACACAGTATATCAATTATATGGTTGCAGTTTACACTACATATAACGGTATAACTATTTCAAGCACTAGCATTACATTCGCAGACAGGACATTTGTCCTTAATATTTTTTTTTATTACTTTCCTGCTATACATGGCATGATGTGGTTTTGATAACCTTTACTCGAGAAATGACAGCTGGTTGCTATGGAAAAGCATCCACTTTCATTCTTTTGTTCTTATATCAGCCCCATTATGGCAGGTATAAGTATTTTATGGACTCTTTACTGCTTTGATCGTTTTTTCATTATTTGTATATTTTAGCATTGATTTTCAGATGTAAACTTTCTAAAATTCCTCTTGAACTTTTTTTTAGGAACTTTTTGAAAAAGAGCAGACGGCAAGGAAAGAACTTGATGCCCTGAGCAAAAACGAGGTTGAGCACCGAGAAAGGATTCTGCAACTTGAGAGTGAAGTCCAGATCATGAATCAGAACCTGCTTGAAAAAGAGAAAGAGACAGACATGTATATATAACTATTCTCTTCCTGTAGAGCCTTAGATTGGCTATAGGCAGGCAGATACATCAAATGAGAATGAAAGGCAGGTTGAGAGCTGTCCTTCCCTTATGATTCCAACAAGCATTAAAACCCATAAAAATATTCTCCAATTCTTAAAGGGACCCTGTTAGAAACTTAAAAAAATTGCAGATAAAAGCACAAAAAACAACTACTTAAAATGCTTACTTGAGGCAGTTTCCTTTCTCATCTGATTGGTAAATTTTCTAGCACACACCCCTCCACCTTGCATGTCATAGCTCTCTCCTCATTTAGAAGTGTCTAATTACTCTCTGGGCTGACCGAGGTCCTCCATCCCTCCCCTCACCTCCCTACATAATCTTTAATGTAGCTGCTGGCTGAGTAGTGTAGGTGAGCACAATAGTATCACTAGAGTGGCAGCTGGGGCTGTTGACATCACATTTAGGCAGTCTCAGAACTTCTGGATGTTGACACAATGAATGCTTTTTCAGGTAAATATCATGCATTAAAATATATTAATTGACATATAACCTTCTGGGAATATTTTTGTTGATATGAATAGTCTGACAACGGCTTCTCTTTAAAAAGACACATCACACACCCCATGGTACTTTGGACCTTTCTATATATATGGGTGGAAGATGTACACCTGATCACAAGTATATTTCTGTAGAAAGTTAAGCGAATCCCTCTTTGTTATAACAAACATCTCTAACTCCCTGAGTAGCTTGTTATTGTCCCCTATCACAATGGGAACTGCCTGATTAGTTGCAAACAAACCTTTAAAAAAAACAACCATTAAAAGTTTCAAGGCATGAAAAGATTTAATTTCTCTCTCTGGTAGGTTTCCTTATGTGTTCATCTGGTTGGAAGTAGTTAAAATTGTTAGAAAATACTTCATGACCAGCGTAGTTCATGATTCATTGGCCATGAATTATTGTCACACAACTGCTTCTAAAAAGCCTAAACATTTTTTACCTTAATGCATTCCTTGCATTAAGGTAAAACATGTTTAGGTTAAAGTATTGCCCCCTCACCCCACTAATACTTACCTGAGCCCAATCTTGATTCAGCTCTGTGCACAACAGCATCAGCTCTCTCCTCCTCTCCCTGCTCTCACAGACTTTGCTGAAAGCTGCAGGAGCCATTGGTCCCCACTGATATCAGTCAAATCCTGTGACAAAGGAGTGGGGGGCAGGGCCAAGCCTCGTTGTCTGTGTCAATAGACACAGACAGCGAGGCTTGGAATTAAGCACACAGGGGTGTCACAATGGTGGCATACCAAAAAGAGAAGGAGCCAGGAGTGCAGGCAAGGACCCAAGAAGAGAAGGTTTGGGGCCACTCAGCAATTCCGTTGCACAGAGCAGGGAAGTATAAACCTCTTTGCTATTTAAAAAAATATTTGAGACCTTACAATCCCTTTAAGGCAAGATATATAAGGTTGGGTTGACCTACAGTTGCAGGAAAAAGACCATTATAACTTAATTTCCTTGAAAACAATTGTTATTTTATTTTGTGTGAAAAATTACTGGAATGATGTTCTGTTTCCGAGCTGCCATCCTCAGATTGGAAGAAACCTTTTCACTATTTATATATTAATGGAAAATTCAGTTCAGCTTAACCCGTAAACTTGTTAAGTTAGATCGTATGGAGTGTCGTGGATTTGGTGTTTCTCTTTCTTATTATGGACTATAGCAGTATGCAATGCAGATATCCTTACAGGAAGACCGAGAGTAATCCCTGTAATCTATCAAAGTGGATGGAGAGGAATTGGTGAAAGTACTTTGTTTCAATTCCTGCTACACATTTAACACCGTATAGCACAATCTAAAGAGTTCTTCTAAAAAGACATTTTGCTTTTTTTGGAGGGTTTTTTTTTTTTTTTTTAGACTTCAGATCTTTCTTGTATTTGTCCCTTAACCCAACCACGATTCCCTTTCAAATGGTCTGATCTGTTGCATCAGTTGGAAAAAAAAGTTACCTGCTTATGGCAACAGTTGAATGAGATACACTGCACTGATAGTGTACAATGTATTTTTTATTGCTTAACAGCCTGAAGACAAGAAAAGAGTCACTAGAGGCAGAAAAGGAGGAGCTGAAAGAGCGACTTGCAGAGACCTCTTCAGAAACGGAGCGTTCCAAGGTCTGTGGGCTTTCTTGATCACCTCTAACATTACAACAGCAATGTTTTAATGCCAAGTTCCTGCACTTTTACTTGTTTAGCAGTCAGGCTGTATAACAAATAATATAACATTATTTTTTTTATTATTATTAATATTATGTGCTTGTGCTTAACACAGTGGGAAGTTGCCTGTGCTAGCAGCACACTGTAGAGCTGGACCTCTACTCTCACACAGAGCACAGCAGTCCAGGTTCTCAGTGGTCAGACATACCCCGCACAATACTCCATTAAACAACGCTCCTCAGGGACTATGATCATTGCTTAATGTAGTACTGTTCAGGGGGCATGTAGAACTGCTAGGGACCTGAACTGCCATGCATAAAAGGGGATTTCTTAATAGTACAGTACACAGGCAGGATATTTATACATCATGGTTTATAGGTGTGTACCCTCAGGTAATTGGACACTGATAATGCTGTAGAGAACATGCCCCCTCGGTACCTTACTTATAACCCTACCCCACTTTGTGAGTTCTCAGTTTTGTGCCAGTGTCTGAAGGTTATGGAGCTTTGTTCTTTCACTGAGAATCACCCTTAGTTTAAGTAGTTTAATATTTTTCTTTTTTTTTATCTTTTGATTTTTCAGTCAAGCCCTCCCTGTCTTCTAATGCCAGCATAGATGCAGTTTATTTAGCTCAGCACAATCTCAGTAAAACTTTGAGAGCTGTAGCCAGACCCTGTGCTGTGGTGACTGCCTGTAATGTTTCTTTGGGCACTGGATCTTGTGTGGGGCGCTCACTTTGGCATGGTGCTATACAGGTCCAGGGCCATGGTCTATCACTGTGGAAGCCAGTCCCCAAAGACCCCTTCAGGCGTATGCTCACCGTGATGGGTAAAGCCCGGAATTTATTTTCAACCTCCCACTGTTACTGAAAAAAAACTGGACTATGTTTGAATTGTATTCACCTCGCATTGTAAACCTTTAAAATTTGTTGCTAAAATCCAGTCATTCAGAGCTCAGTCTCAGGTAGATGACCAGGTGTTGCCTCACACCACTGGTTGCACACTTTAATGCCACTTCTGCCTAGAGCCATTATAAGGTACGCAGGTGCTTTTTCCCACCTAGAAGCTACTGAGTTACAGGATAGTTTACACCTGGGTTACCTCGTACTCCTTACAGACATGCTTACTCCACACCCTATTCCATTAATACTCCACAGGGGAGTACCCTCACTTTTAGCTATGGTGGGGACTAAGCAAAAGGGAATCGATACAAAGTTGCAGGCTAACATCCGTTCTGCCAAAGGCCCACACAGCACTCAAGCTCTGAGTGGTGATGCGTCCCTTGCACAGGAGCAAGGACTGACCCTAACACTGGTCTCAGCATCTGACTCTAGTTCTATTTCAGGCATGCAACAAGCAGCCTATTTAACTAAAACAGAATTGTTTATAACTACTGTATGTCAAATTTTTGTTGGATATATTATGGTCTTAAAGTGTTACTAAACCCACAACAGTAAAATCTCTGTGTATGCTGTAAAGCATGCTTGTTATACTCATTGTGGAAACTAATGGGTTAATCCTCCGCATTGTGTAAAAAGGCTGTTGCATCCTGTCTTCTCTGATCCTACCCTTCTTTTACTTCCCTAATCCATCTGTTGATAATACAGAGCCCTAGGAGGCACTCTGCACATGCTCAGTTTGGTGTGTATTGCTTGAGAATTTTTTTTTTTCTAGAGGGTGCATGTGATCGGCACAGGGCCAATCAGCACTGTCCAGACAGCCTCATAAGACAGTCAGAGGAGAATGCAAACTCCTCCTACAAGCTTTAACCAGTGCTCAGCCGGACACTGACAGAAATCACAAGAGTGCTATATATTGCTGATGACAAAAGGTATTTAGCAGTTTATATTTACTAAAATAATTGCATTTCCATTTATGTGTACTGTGGAAGACCAGATATAGTGAATGCAGGGTCATGAGTTTAGTAACACTTTAATACATCCATTATAGTCTAAGGCCCAAAAATGCCACACCTCTTTTTCTACTCCTGTGAGTTGGATCCTGATATATCGGCGCATGCAAAGACACAGAAGGGAATGAAGAGGATACTGAGGCAATATTGGAGGAAGCTGCAAAAGATTTTTATCCCCTTAACTGTCACTATATTGAAGAGGGTGCTTCATGAAACATGCTTGCTAATGTTGAAAAGCTCATTGCCTCTGTCCACAAAACCCTTGACATTGTGCAACCTGACTCTTCCCCATATTGTTGTGCCCCATTGGGTACAAAGAGAGTTGCAAAATCTGGCAAAACAGTCCCTGTTCATGAACAGACAAAATATGCAGTCTATGACTGGGTCACTCCTGAAAGAATTTTCACTGCCCCAAAAATATTTACTGAACTTTATCCAGTGGCATTCTCAAAGAAGTGGGCTGTTCCTGTAGTTGATTTTACCATCTCAGTCCTAAACAAACATTTCACTGTTCCTATTGATGCTCCTTCTTTCAAAGATTCTACAAACAGAAAGTTTGAGACACACCTAAAAGCTCTATTTAATCTTTCAGCCCTACCATGCAATCAGCTCTTGCTGCTATTTCAGTATGTCCAACTGCAGCTACCTGAACTAGGATAATGAACAACCAACATCACCATGTATTTCAGGATTTTGTTACACAGAAATTAAAAAAATTGCCTTCTGCTCTGCTGTTTTGACATGATGCCTTAGAAAATGTCTTCAGACAAATTTCCAGAATGGTTCTAATCTCCATGCACATGCTAAAAATATTATGGTTAGGAACTTGGACAGCTGAAGCTGCCTGCAAAAGGCAGCTCACAAGTATGCAATTTCAAGGAAGACGTCTGTTTGGTGAGGCACTTGACCAATTCATCAAAGAGGTCATTGCTGGAAAGGTTTTACTTCCACAGTGGAAGTTCCCTAAACCATCCTGCACAGGAACCCTAGCTCCTCTAAACGCAGAGCACCTGTCCGCTCTAATCAGGCTTTAACTTAGAACTTTGCACTGAATGCCCTTCCTTTCAGCACAAGGCTTGGCCCACAAAGGTCACAAAGCCTTCCCGAAAACCCTCTTCACTATAAAGGAGTGTCCTCATTCTTAAGAGTGAGGGGGGATGTCTGTTACAGCTTTCCTCTCTCTTGGTCACAGTTGTTCCAGACCTGTGGGTTTAATCAGTGATTTCAAATGGGTACAAAATAGAGTTCAAAGCTTTACCACTCCACCACTTTCTTCTTTCAGATCAACCAAAAACTGCCCAGGGACAGATAGGTTTGCAGAATGCCCTAAACCACCTTTTGTCCTAGGGGAGTTGTTGTACCACTAAGAGACAGGTTCAAAAGATTCTACTCAAACTCAAAACCCAACAGTGGTATTCGTACTATTCTGGATTTAAAATCCCTCAACAAATTCCTTAAAATTCCTAAATTTCACATGAAATCCACAATGTCAGTAATTGCCTCTCTGATACAAGGGAAATACATGGCATCTGTGGACATCCAAAATGTCTATCCCCATGTTCCCATTTACCCACTTCATCAGCATCTTCTGCAATTCACAATGGCAGTCAACCACTTCCAGTTTGTTGCACTGTCCTTTTGCCCATCATCTGTTTCCAGAGTGTTCACAAACATCTTGGCACCTCTGCTTGCCCTTCTCAAAACTCAGGGCATCCAAGTCATAGGCTATCTAGAGGACCTTCTTCTGAATGAGATAGAACAACCAATCATCATAAGTGGGAAAAAAACTTGCCACATCCCAAAACAACTTTTTAGAACATAGAAGGAACCAACTAGTTCCACCAATAAGGGAAGACTCCGTACCTGAGACAACAGTAGTATAATTAAGAAATATGAAAATACAAATTTTATTAATCGCCTTCTGTGAATTAAAACAGATTGTCTTGATACAACTAGACAATATCATCAGACATCATAAATATAATGGACCATTCCGTGATAAAAAGACTAATAGTCCATAGTAATTTTTATTGAAGCATTCCTCAAGCTCCAAATCTGACACTTTTCACAGTCTAGACTGCTGCAAAACACAGACTGTGATTAATAAATTTGTATTTTCATATTTCTTAAGTGTGATACTGTTGCCTTAGGTATGGAGCCTTCCAAGTCTCCTATTGGTGGAACTAGTTAGTTCCTTCTATGTTCTAAAGACTTCTTCTGAAGCACAAATCTTCCTTCTGACAATCAGTAGTCAGCTTGCAGGACAATTCAGATGCTCCAGGCCTTCAGATGGGTGATTTTAACAAACGTACTCTTCAACCTTCACTTCCCCTAGAATACTTAGTTCTGGTCCTGGGCACATACCAAGCTAAAGTCTTTCTACCAGAAAATAATTTTTTTTTCTCTAAGAGGACTGGCTCAACAACTAAGATCCAAGAAACATCCCACACTGTGATTCTCTATGAGAGTTCTGGGTAGCCTGCTTCAAAGCAGTATCATTCACCTAATTCCATTCAAGAACTCTCCAACAAAATATCATGTCGATCTGGAAAAAGCAGGCTCTTTCTTTTGATTTGCTCTGCTCATTCCCCGTCCAGTCAATTAAGGAATTCCATATCTTGATGGATCACCCCAGTCCTAACAGTGGAAAAACTTTACTTCCCTATCGCTGAAAAGTTATCACAATGGATGCAGGTCTGTCAGGCAGATGTGGAGTGTTCCAGTCCCTAATAGTCCAAGGAACATATTCACTTAAGGAAACCAAGCTCCCAATCAAAATTTTGAAGCTCAGAGCAGTCAGGTTGTCACTGCAGCACTGGACCCCCCTGTGACATAACACGGTACCAGACCCCCGACCTTCTCACCAACTTGTGACAAAGGACCAGTCAATTTCGCACCGCACTGTCACTTGCATAACAATGCCACTCTCAGCTGCACCCTGCACAAAGATTTTCCATCTCGCGGGAGCACAATCTATGTGCCAGCGGCCTGAGAGCGATTGGCACTGGGTTAGGTTAATTAAGTAATTAACCCTTCACACTGCAACCACCACCTTTTGACAGAGAAGGAGGAAACTCACAAATCCGTAGCGTCTGCAACACACACTGTCACCACAAGGATATTCAGAGGAAATTGTATACAGTAGCACTCTTCAAGAGATGGATTATTTAGTTTGCATTAAAAGCTTTAGAGACAGTTTCAACACTTTTCAAAATAGGGTTTATTACTAAAAAGATCAAAATGGTGCATATAAATTATTTACATAAAAAGATGTTACAAAGACATAAAGAGAACAATAATGCAACAGAGAAATAAAAGGAAGGAGTTAAGAAGGCAGAATACTTGCAAAGTCCTGGTTTAGCAGAGTCCAATTGTCCAAGCACAAAATGTTGTCAAGTTCGTTAGATGTTTCTTGATTGATGTTAAACGTGAGCTCCCCTTCACCAGGCCTGTCAGTCCTTTTCAATGATATTAAAGGGGTGTCGTCTGAAAACAACAGACCAATCATCCGGTTTAGGGGATGGGTGCTAGGAGGTCACCAAGTTTATGACCAAGTCCCAACTACAATTTCATACTAATATTAATAACTTCCAGTATGTGCAGGTGGTATTCTAGCAACTGGCAGATTAATATTCAGAATTATATTTCAAACCTAGGGATACCAAACTCAGCACACCCTTGTCACCCAGGAGGGAAGAGACTGTTTTCTTCCCTTTCCTATGTGCTAACATAGTCATGTAGGACCTTGCTTGGTTTGGCATGATATGATCTATCCAAATATATACCTAATATTAATGTGCTCAGTTCCTGTTGAATTTAATGAATTGTTACATGTGAAATCGACGTTTTATGGCATGCATTCCTAGCTCTAATGACCTAACAAATCATGTGTGACGCCTGACTGAGTTATTGTTTTGCGATAGGGCAGAGGAAAGTGTCTTTGCAAAATAGACATTTTGCCAAGACTAATTAGCGGTTTACAGTTCTGGAGCTGGCCTCTGTTTGTGTTTTTTTTTTAACGATAAGAGGCTATTTTGAAGTCCGTTACAACTTACAGCTTCAAATTCCATTTCAAGAGGCGGGGTGAAAGATGATTGTTCATGAAAAACAAAATGGCTGAGACCTTAACAAGATGGCTGTCGCATACAGCTCCATGTCTCTATTGCGCATAATCGTTACACCCCCTATTGAAGGGGCACCCAATTAGTGTGAAAATGCCTGGGCTGTGACTTAACCATCAAGACAGCACAAGTATTCTGGCTGCCTTGAAGGAAGTGCACCAGATATTCTCTTGGACAGAAACCTACTGTGATCTCATTGCGTTCTAAATCCCCGGAGTGGAAAGCAGATTATCTCAGTTGCCATCACCTGGACCAAGGGGTATGGGACCTTCATCCAGATAAACTTCAGTCTGATATGCCAGCAGTGGGGGGTTTCGGATATGGATATCATAGTCTCCAGCATTGTAAAAAACTTTCTTCAAGAAGTATCTTATAATAACGCCCCCTTGCAGCACCCTGTGCTTTCATGGGATCTCAAAAGAGTTGTCTCTGTCCTACAGACACCACCCTTTGAAACTATCAGGGATATTCCCCTAGAGCAGAGGTCTGTAACCCGTTGATCACGGTCTACCCATTGTTAGCGGGCAGGTGATGGGTAGATCGCTTCTCTTCCTTGCCAACCCCCCAAACCTGAACAGGAGAGGCGGCAGCATTTTTTGTAACTGATCCCTGTACTTTCCTCCTGCAGCAGCTGAAAGCCTGCTTCTACTGTTTGTCTTCCTACCTGCCGGCATTCAGAGGTTGCAAGAGGAAAATACAAGTGACCAGTTCCAGTAAATGCTACCCCTGCTGTCCCTCCTGTCCAGGTTCCCATACCCCTGCTACCCGGTACCGATCGCTCACTGTGTTTATTTATAACTGAAGCACTATGCTTCAGTTTGTCAATAAATAGAGAGGCTGTACAGAGCTCTTCCTGTTCATTCATTCTGTGCAACTGAGGCTACAGAGATGGTGATTGAGGACTGGACCTCAATCTTTTTTCTCTGTCTCAAAAGTTAAGTATCAGGTGTCTGTTTAGACCTCTCTAAATTGATATTTCATCACAGTCCCCAGGCTGCTAAAAAATGTAAAAAATAAAATTGTAAAAAATAATACTATGATAAAAATACACCATCCACTGCCCTACTGACACTAACCTCTGCCCTACTGACACCATCCAATGCTCTACTGGCACCATGCTCTGCCCTACTGCCACCATCCACTGATCCTCTGATTAACACCATCTACTGCCTTACTGACACCAACTTCTGCCCTACTGACACTTCCACTGCTCCACTGACATTGTCCACTGCCCTACTGACACTATCCACACACCGCCTACTGCCCTAAAGAAAATCCGGGAACATTGCCTGGACTTAATCAGGACCTCACAAGGGACACCATGCTTCAAGGTTCACCAATGCATGATGAAAACGGAATCTGATTGCTAGTGCTTACATTTTCAAAGAGAAATCTCCTCCTATCTTTTTATGTACTCATTCCACCAGAGTGGTGAGAGTTTCCTGGCCAATGCAGCACCAAGACTCTGTTGCCCAGTTGTGTAAGGCCACCACGTGGACTATTGTTTATACTTTTTTTAAAGTTTTTACCAGGTGAACATCCAGTCTTGTGCTGATGCAGCTTTTGACGGTAAGGCTCTTGCAGCAGCTCTCAGAGGTTGGGTCTTCTGACCTTTGTTGTTGGGCCTGTTGCCACAACTCTGTTTGCCTGTGTCCTGTACTGTATGATTAAGATAAGAGGAATTTTGACTTGCCTGTCATTTCCATATCTTGGAGCACAGTACAGGACACAGGACACCTTCCCTTCCATTACTTGGTTTACTCTGCATTGCATGCTATGAAACTGAGGACTCACAGAATGGGCTAGAGCTGGCTATAGGGGAGGCACCCAGGGGGCATGTCCTCTAAAGCTTTGCCAGTGTCCGATCACCTGAAAGTACATGCCCATGGTGTGTGAATACTCTGCCTGTGTCCTGTATTGTACTCCAAGATATGGAATGTACAGTCATGTTTTCTCTCTTTCTCCTTCTTACAATAGACTTATTGCACAGTTAGTGTCAGGATCTTTTCTTTGTAATGTCAGTGGACAGATACCTTCAAATTATTTTAAATTTGTACTTGTAATTGAAGAATCCGAGATTAAACATTGCCAAAAGTTCTATTACTGTCAGGGTAACTGGCTTGCCTGTGTTTGTATAGTTGCAGATAGATACTCTGCGTGAGAAGCTGCGGTGCACACAGGATATTCTCTCAGCCAGTCAGCAGAAAGTGATGCTGTTAGGGGAGGAGTTAGCTACGGTCTCTTCTATTCGAGATCGGACCATCTCTGACCTGCACAAAAGCCGCCTCGAGACAGCTGACCTTGCCCTCAAAGTGTCCGACTTAAGTCTCCGATATAAAGAAGGAATGGGGCAGTGGTGGCAAGAGAAGACAGCTCTGAACCACAGCATGGAGGTAAGTATGGTACATTTTGTTATGTTGGATAAAATATCTTAGCTGTATATCATTTTTTCTCTAAGGGGATCACATATTTTTGTGTATGTTCTTTAGTCCCAGAGTTTTAAAATGTCACTTAGATCAGGTACTTTTTAAACACACTTCCGGGTGTTATACTGGCCAAGATGTTCATTTTTATAGCCCAATGTTGGCTTTAAGGTGGAAGTGATGGGAGCCACCCAATCACTTCCACAATTGCCACAATGTGCAGTGGAGTACAGGGGAGATATCAGGGGTCTAATAGAACTCGAATGTCTCAATTAAGAGAACCTGTCATCTATATGCTATCACACAGGGGACCATTGGTTCACTATGTGATAGTAATAAAGTTATGTAAAAAAAAAAAGGGTTTGACACACATACAAAAATCTGAATCAAGACGGTATCTCAAATAAACATATAAACCTATCCCCTGAAAGCATATAAGTCTTACTTTCACCCTTGAAAGTGTAATAAATGATAATACCTCAATATGCTCACCCTATAGCCAAAGCAAACAAGTGCTAAACTAAATAAACTATGTATAAATCATTTGAATCAAGTACATATCATAATATAAAACGCAGTGTAAAAAAATAAAAATAAAATTACTATAAACGCAGTGTGCAAAAATAAATATTTCAAACGTAGTGTCCAAAATACCAAGGCATAAATCAATTGAATCAAGTACATATAATACAAACGCAGTGTCCAAAAATTAATATAAACGCAGTGTCCAAAAATACATATTATAAACGCAGTGTCCAAAATACCAAGTGTCCAAAAATATACTAAAGATGCAAATCCTAGTCCTTTCTGTAGACACTTTCCCAAAAAGACTCCAAACTCCATAGTGATCCTCAAAAAAAAAGAAACTAAAATAGTGTATTATCCCTAAAACAATAATGTACAATCATATACAACATAAGTGTTACTCCACATCAAACGTGACCATATATCTGAATCAAGTGCTCGACGTGAAAAAACGTGCTAGTGAAACACTCTTGTGATTCAACAAATCAAAAAATCAAAGTGCTAGTACTAGTGCATACTTCTATAGTGTAATGACTGAATACCCTTACCAGATGGCAAAAGAAACAGCACTTTAATACCACTAAGGGTATACTTTTTTGCTTCTGGCTATAGGGTGAGCATATTGAGGTATTCACACAAAAAAAAAGTTTGCATTAGAGCACCTTTGTACGAAAACGGTCATTGCCCTACGAGCAATAATTCAAGGCCAATTGTTCATGGTTACCTCTAGACTGATGACCTGTATGGGCATCGCCTGTGGAAAATATTGGGTACCAAAGTTTGTTGCCATTTCACGGCTGCATGCAATTTTAAGGCTTGATGTGTTGGGTCTCTATTCACTTGATGCAACCTCATCTTTTATATTTTTTTATCAAATAATTTTTATTAGGAAAGTTGTTTTTTTTTTGTAATACAAAACACATCACAAAGAAAAGTAGTATAAATGTGCGTACTTGAATAAGCCTTCCAATAGAAACAGTCATACACGACAGAGTGTCATGTTGAAATATAGAGCAGACACAGTAAGAAAATATCTCTCTGTTCCCACAACGGCAAGTAAGTACATATAAGGCTTTTATCAATGTATAACATTGTTTCGTATATAACAGTGAAACAACTGAATTAGAACCAATAACAAACAAGTGTCTGCATACTCCCAAAAGCCAGTAGATAAATACCCATGTGCGCCTAAACCTCTAGCTATTCAGGAGGTTGTGTAACTCAAGCCAAGGAAATGTGAAACTCATCTACTTCCGTAATAATACCACACCAGCTATTGGAGTTAACATTGTAGCCACCAGAACCAGTGAGAGAGGGGCAAATCCCAGTACCGTAGACCATGGTTCCCATCATTTGGAACATTTTTTTGAGTGCCCCTGTATTAATATAACTGTTTTTCAATTAGTAGGGTATTATTCACTTGAATTCACCAGTTCTCAAAGTAGGAGGACTAAGGAATATCGTTTTGCGGGCAATAAAGGTATGATAGGAATTCTAGTCACGGGAGGGAAGCACTCCTCGTCAATATCCCCAAGTAAGCATAGCATTAAGAGTAATTCAAGTTGAACATGAAAAACTCTATTGATGGTATCTACAATATTACCCCAATAGCGAATCAGCTTGGGGCATCACCACAGCATATGGAGGAGATCTGCCAGGGATCGCTGACATCTGGGACATTCCGGAGTAGGTCTACAACCCTACTGATATAAATCTGAGTGGAGTATGGTATACTCTATGGCAGGGCTTAAAATTTCAAGTCCTGAGCTACTAGCCAGGACTTATAAGTTACTCGCCACCAGTTGCCCCACCCAACCCCTACCCTGCCCCTCCCTTAATTCTGCCCCTAAACACGCCCTCGTAAATTATCTCATAAGATGGCACTGTTAAATGTTTTATGCAAAATGAACGAAGGAAGGGAGAAAGGGTGGGAGGGGTAGAAGGAAGGGAGGGTGGGTGGAAAGAAGTGAGAAAGGGAGGGGTGGAGGGAGGAAAGAAGGAAGGGAGAGTGGGGTAAAGGGAAGAAAGAAGGGAGGGAGGGGTGGAGGGAGGAAGAGGTGGAGGGAGGAAAGAAGGAAGGGAGAGGTGGAGGAAGGAAGGGAGGGGTGGAAGGGAGGGAGGGGTGGAAGGAAGGGAGAGAGGGAGGGCTGTAAGGAAGAGAGGGGTGGGTGGAAGGAAGGGGTGGAAGTAAGTAAGGGAGGGGTGGGTGGAACCTCCAGTTGCGCCAGTAGGCTATTCTTAGAGGAGCGAGAAAGTAGGATGGCCTGAATTATCTTTTATATTTTACCAAAACATTTCGTAATGTGTATGGTTATGTGCCTAAAATTAACTGTAGTGTATTTTTTACTGACATTTTGATTTTCATAACTAATTTTGTGTGACAGAAAAAATTGGAACTACCACTATTTTATTGTGTAGGGTGTCAGTTTTCAGAAAATTATGTTTGGGGGTTTTAAGTAATCTTCAGGCCTCAAACAACTTTTAAAATATGTTCACAAAAAAAAAGAATAATTGGCTTTGGCACTCAAGTGCTTATAAAATAATTATAATAATGTGTTTATTTCTTTACAAGGTAAAGGATTTGTAACTGCAGAGCCAATCATTTTTTATAGTACAGGTATACTTTTTTTAGTAAACATCCTGTACAGATTTCCCACCCACCTCCTATACCCAAACACAGACTTCAGATGCCATTAGGATCCACTTTACACCCTCCCCCCATTTCTCTTCTGCACTGGGTAGTTTTTTCTACCTGTTTCCCCCTGCCTGCAGGAATAATTTTAGGCTTTTTACAGATAAATAGAAGAGCCCAATACGGCATTTATAATTAAGCGTATTTCCTGCTTCTGAAATGTAGCTTCCTAATTTAAAAATTCAGGTTACTTTATCATGTGTTTGCCTGCTTGCATGCAGGAAGCTTGAATGATAACATAGGATCAGTAATGCTAAACCAGAAAGTAGCAGAGTGGTCTTCCAGGCTAATAAAAGAGTGTGTATCATAAGAATGGAATACCAGAATTAGAAACCCATTGGTAGCCCCCTGCCGATCTTGATTTCACTTTGTTACCAAAGGCTCAACTTCGCACTACTCTTGTTGAGGCTAAAACCTGGGCTCTTGCAGCTGCCCAAACCAGCGAGAGCACCTCTGTGTGCAATAGAAGTATTGTCTCTGCATGTAAGGAGGTGGAACAGGTAAATAGAGCTTAGCTTCTATAATTCTGGGCCCACAAGTTAGGAAAATCTAGTCCTTGATTCAAAAGATGTGTGGAGGTGGCCTTTTTTAAAATAAACGATTCCCCTTATGTTCCCCCTTTTCATATATCATATTAGCATTTTATAAATAGAAACAATAAAATTAATAAGCCAGATGTAAAGAGAAAGCAGAGGAAGGAGCAAAATTAAAGGAGGAATCCAGGAAGAACACAAAACTCATGTGTTTACCCTTTCAAGTGCAGGTGCTAGTGCAGCTTACAATAAAGAAGGAAACAAAAATAGAAAAAAAAAAAAAGAAATGTTTTGAGAAGTGGGTGGATGAGGCAAATTGAATTAATTCATGCTAAAAATAGACTTGCATAATTCAAGGAACACAACGCCTCCCCTTCTGATAGCAAAAGCTTTTAGGGCTCTTTCATACTAGGAACTGCATGTGAATCGCGCAGGAACACTGTGCAGCTTCTGTGTGATTCACATACAGTTCTGTGCAGTGCGATTTCATCCCATTTATTTTGCATACACTACTTTTCGAAGCGAATTGCTACCATATTGCATTTTACTTTTGAACTATGTGATCCGGTGCAGGCCACTGCGGGCAAATAAATTTGCGACCTGCATTTGGAGTGTCATTAACACTGCACTGACACCCGCAATAGTTCGCAAAGTCAGTGCGACTTGAATGAGGTGCGGGAAGCTGCACAGGAACGTGGCTTTCCTGCACTGCATTCTAGTGTGAAAGGGCCCTTAAAGTTGTCCTTTAAGGCCTAGTTCACACTATTGTGGGTAGTTACAGATGTGGAAATTGCAGTGATTCCCACAGCCACAACCACCCTGCAGTCAAAACTCAGTGCTGTTTAAAAATGCGCGAGGCTGCCATTCATTGTTAATGGCATCCCCATGCATCTAAAAATGCATCATGTTTGTGGCTGCTGTGTTCTTAAAATACTACAGGAACCTTTTTCCTGCATGAAAAGCAGGTAGAGCAGCTCAAACCCGGGCCGCAAACCCACAATAGTGTGAACCAGGCCTAAAGTTTTATTTTTATTTTAGGCCAAGAGAGATCAGATTGTGAATCTGAAAGCAGAAAAGCTGACTTTGGAAAGCAACTTGCAAGAAGAGAGGAGCCAACGACAGAAACTTCAATGTAAACTAAACCAGGAGAAAGATGCATGTCAGGTAAAAGACATTTGTCCTATCAGAAAATGATGGCCAGTACTGAGGGCAGGCCTGGGATACACATGGACTGCAATTGCTAACCTCCTTTAACCCTTTCTCTACCAAGGTACATGTATAAATGTTCACGTATTTAAGGGGTTTAAACAAGCTCACAACTGCTGCTGCAGCCACGAGCTTGGTACTGATTTTTTCAGCCACCGATCAGCTTTCAAGTAAAACTGATGCCAGGTAGCTTTACATTACCGGAAGCATGACATCCTCCTTTCCCCGGCACCCGCGGTGGTTGCCAGGCTGTTTTATTCTTCTAGGTAGCCTGTGACCATAGTAAAATGACCCAACATTGAGAGCCGGAGTGACTAAGGAACCTGGAAACAACGTGTATTGTGTCACTTCTGGGTTCAGAGCTGTCATTCCCCTCCTTCTTTCAGAAAGTATATATATTTTGTGTGGGGGTTTAACGTAAATTCTAGAAAACATGATTTTTAACTTGTGTGAAAAATTAAAAAACTGCCCTGGTAGAAAAATGGTTAAATACTAATTACCCCGCTGTCTTTGGGGAGGAACTGTAATTATGTGTTTTGCAGACCAATAATAAAAGCAGTTGGTGAGAAAAAAAAAAATCACAGGCTCCCAAATGACTATGAGCAGATACAGGAAAATATATGTAACTACCAAAAATAATTTTATATACAATTTTTTATGTTTTCCTGCTATTATTTTTAAAATTCTCTACTTACTCTGTGTTTTGAATCTGTAAAGGTTCAGATATCAGAAAGCAGACGAGAGTTAAGTGAGTTGAAATCGGCTCTGAAAGTTGCACAGATGGAAAAGGAACAATTAAGAGAAGAAAAACAGGTAAGACATGAATCAGTCCATAGAGTGCTGTGTAAGAATATCAGTGATTCTTCAATAAAGGTGTTAGTAGGTTCAGAGTATTTTCTGTATATATCATTGTTGTCTCTTACCCTTACCTTCTCTCCTATGGTTTTTCTACAAATGGCTAATGTTGATTTCTAAAATGAACAGATTTTCTTGATTGTTCAGTAAAGGCATAGTCTTAGACGAATAGGTTATATGTTACTACTAGGGATGCATCGATGCCGATACCGAGTATTTTCATGAGTACTCATACTCATGAAAATGCTCCCGATACTGGAAACTGATAATTTGCATCAATACAAATTGCACTGCAAAGGTTAGTATGCGATTTGAACAGGAATACGATTCCTGTCCAAATTACATGTGGTTTCCCCATTGCTTCTATGTGAACCCAGGCTTGTCATGGCCGGAGTTCACACAGGAGCAGTGAGGGAAACCTCCCTACAGGCATCCCATACTGAGTGGAAAGTGGGTGTGTGGGGATGTATACTATGGAAGCAGATGGACCATATTCTCAGCGGATGAAGCTGACCAATCGATGCCATTTAGCACATAAAATCATGTCTGCAAGGAGAGAATAGAAAAGCCACGGGGATTTCAGAATTTCAGACCTGTGAAGCGGCTTTCTCTCCTCTCCCTGCAGGGATGACAGTAGGGGCTAGACGGTATCTGATTGGTCAGCACTGTCCATGTGATAGTGTTGACCAATCAGAAGCCCTCTAGCCCAAACTGTCATCCCTGCAAGGAGATTTTCTCTCTTTTCCTAACGCTGAGAATATGGAGCATCTTCCTTCATAGTATACATCCCCACACGCCCACTCTCCGCTACAGGAAACCTTGCACCGCTCCTGTGTAAAATCAAGACTATGAGAGCCTGGGCTCACACAGGAGCAGTGGGGAAACCGCATGCAATTTGGACAGGAATCACATTCCTGTTCAAATCGCATGCTATTCTTTGTGGTGCAATTTCCTTTTATACATTTTGTATGGATGCCAATTGCACCGCAAAGTATTGGTAATTGGTATCGGCGAGTACTTGACTGAAAGTATCGGTACTTGTACTTGCAGATTAAAAAAAGGGGTTTCTGTGCATCCCTAGTTACTACCTTTAGGTGAATTGGACATTGGCAAAGAGAACAATTAGAACCCCCGTATATCCTCCTCCACCTCACAGCTATCACGAGTTTTTGCTAGTGTCCTAAGATGATGGATGTCTTTTTTTTTTGCTATTTTGATTTTTTATGTATCTGATTTTGCACCTGCTACAACAACTAATGGCATAACTTCTAGATCAGTACCCTAGGCATACCATTGGGATCATACCTGGACCCCTTTCTAGGATAAGAAGACACAGGGCTGACCTGGAAAATCACTTTGGGTACTTGATCCTGTGTTAGGCACTCCTCCACAGTATGCTGTACAATGTGTGATGTTAGCCACAAGGTGTTATATAAGTTCAGAAAATGATGATCCGTGCAGGTGTGGCCAAGTCCCTGTAAGCCCATTCGGGAATATGCTTTTCTGATATGAGTGTAGCAGACGAGCCACCTTCCCCCTCAACTATTGGGGTTGTCCTGATTACTGAAGGTTAGTAAGTAAGACCGTGGACCCTTTAATTATACAGAGAAGGTTCTGCTGGAGTGTGTGAGACTTTTGTCTCTTTCCCCATCCCCTTCTCACAGGAGCACTTTTAAAGAGACTGTGCACCTTTTTTGGTTTATAATATTTGAATGCTCTGGATGTTTTTATCAAAAAAGCACTCCTTATCTCTTAAGAAACAGCAGAAGCCTGCAGAACAGAACCAGTCTTTGTCTGGAACCAAGTTCCTTTCTATTTTTTTTTTAGAACTAGGAGGCGAAACAGGAAACTTCTGTTTGTAAAAAGTTCTGGAGCTCCAAGACAGGTAACAGGCATTCTTTCTAATGATTGGGCTTCCTCTCCTCTGCAAGCGGGGAGGACGCTTGGCAGGTTTTGCAGCCATATTGACCCATGTATACCACTAATGTATGCGTTTGTTTTACTAAAGGCAAATAGACTTTGCACTTTCCAAGTGCAATTGCTCTAGAGCTTAGTAAATGAAATTAAGCTTTACTTTGCAAAGAATACCCAATCACATGCAAGGAAAATAAAAAACAGCATTTTTGCTTGCACATGATTGGATGATGGAAGTCAACAGAGCTTCCCCTCATTCACTAAGCTCTAGAACAATTGTACTTGCGGAGTGCAACTGTACTTGCAAAATGCACAGTCTATTTGCCTTTAGTAAATCCACACCATTGTATGCTGTCTTGAGAACGCCCTGTGGGTGGGGCGAAACGCGTTGACGTACTTCCGGTTGGTCTCCCAAACGTCCGACGTCATTTCCGGTGACTGGAACGCACGCCGAGGGATGCGTTCCAGGCGGCCATTTTTTGACTAGTGAAGAAAGTTTGTTCGTTATGGAGGCTGTCATCCTGCTGTATACAAGGCTGTGAGTTCCTAGGAGCTGTGGAAATTCGTTTTTGCTATTCGAAAATTCGTTTGATGTCCTTAAATAAATGCTGGTTTTTATCCAATGAAATGTGAGTTGTTTGGCTTGAATTAATTAAAAAGGGGTATAACAGTATTACACTATTAGTTTTTTTCTCCCTTTTGGAACTTGGTGATTTGGCGAGGAGACGAATGGAGAAATAACCATAGATCTGAGGTGGAAAATAGAGGAGTCATCAAAGGGGGTCCAGGAGCCCTAAATAATCCTGAAAGGTGTTTTACTCACCAATATCTGGTGAGTGCGGTTTATGTTGGTTTCGGCACTGGTGGATGGTGGAAGAATTATTTGAAGCACTGAAGTTTATTTTTTAGAAAGTTTTTTTAGATCACTGGACTTTTGATTTATGGAAAAAAAAAATTTTAAGTTTTTTTAGTTTTTATTTGTCACGGGATTGTGGTCACTTACCTTTATCACTGGACTTTGAAGATTATTTATAAAATAGTAATTTTATATTCACTTATAATTTTATATTCACTTATTATTTAACATTTGTGTTTTGCGCTGGTTTATATTGGAATAATTGTATCAAGAGACTACAAGCAGGAATTTGGCATCCTGCCTTCTCCACTCTTATTGCCATTAAATGTGCCTACTGAGCTTGACAAAAAAAAAGCATTGGACGGAACAATATGTTTCTGGTTTCTCCATGGTGCACATTCCTGGACCTGTAAGGTCCTGTAAGGTACCATATTTCATCTTCGCAGTCGCTGTTTTTGACAGTTTGGTTACTGAAGCGCAAGCACTGAGGGACATGGGTCTTAGGGACAGAGTGATTCCTACTTTACTGAAGGCCAGAAAGCTCTCTTCTCATAGGGTTTATCACAACATGTGGAAAGCATACTTTGCTTGGTGTGAAAGGGGAAAATTTAATTCCAGAAAATACTCCATGGTACGGTCTTTATCCTTCCTTCAGTCTGGAATGGACAAGTCCTTGGCCCTGAGGACAATAAAAGTCAGGTTTCTGCCTTGGCAGTGCTCTTTCAGGCTCCATGCACACTAGCATTTTTTTAAAGCTCAAAAAATGCTGGATAAAAAAACGCTGGTAAAAGGTTTTTCAGTAGCATTTTAGTAGTGTTTACAAGCATTTTAGAGAGTTAGATTTTTATTAGCCTTTTTGCAGTACATGAAGGGAAAAGCTAGAAAAAAGCTGTTAGGAGCATTTTATTAACATTTAGGAGCTACACATTGTTAGTCTGGCTGAAAAAAATACAAAAGTCCATCCAGTTCAACCATAAAAAAAAAATAAAAAAAAGTTATAATCATATACACACACAGTTGATCCAGAGGAATGCAAAAAACTCAGCAAAACATGATCCAATTTGTTCCTGCAGGGGAAAAAATTCCTTCCTAATCCCACAAGAGGCAATCGGATATTCCCTGGATCAACTTTACCTATAAATGTTAGTAACCAGTATATTCGGTGTATCCAAGAAAGAATCCAGGCCTTTTTTAAAGCAATACACTGAGCTGGCCAGAACCAACTCTTGAGGGAGTCTATTCCACATTTTCACAGCTCGTACTGTGAAGAAACCTTTCCGTATTTGGAGATTAAATCTCTTTTCCTCCAGGCATAGAGAGTGCCCTCTTGTCCTCTGTGATGACCTCAGGGTGAATAACTCTACACCGAGTTCACTATATGAACCACTGATGTATTTATACATGTTGATCATATCCCCCTTTAATCTTCTGTTCTCGAGAGAATAAATTCAGTTCCTCTAATCTTTCCTCATAGCTGAGCTCCTCCATGCCTCTAATCAGTTTGGTTGCCCTTCTCTGCACTTTCTCCAGTTTCCCAAAATTCTTTTTGTGAATTGGCGCCTAAAACTGAACTGCATATTCCAGATGAGGTGTTACTATTGATTTGTACAGGGTAATATGATATCTCTCTCTGGAGTCTATACCTCTTTTAATACAAGAGAGGATTTTGCTCGATTTAGAAACCGCAGCTTGGCATTGCATGCCATTATTAAGCTTGTGATCTACCAGAACCCCCAGATCCTTCTCCACCATTGATTCCCCCAGTTGTACTCCCCTAGTATGTATGATGCATGCATATTCTTAGCCCCCAAGTGCATTACCTTACATTTATCAACATTAAACCTCTTTTGCCACATAGTTGCCCAATTAAACAGAGCATTGAGGTCGGCTTGTGAGTTGGAAACATCCTGTAAGGACGTTATTCCACTGCACAGCTTGGTGTCATCTGCAAAGACTGAAACAGTATTTTTAATCCCAGACCCTATATGAGTTATGAGTTATAATAAGTAAGGGTCTCAACACTAAACCTTGGGGTACACCACTGACAACTCTAGACCATTCAGAGTATGAATCATTAACCACTACTCTCTGAACATGATCTTTTAGCCAGTTTTACCCATTTACTTACAGATTTTTCCAAGCCTGTAGAGTTTGCCTTATACATTAGCCGTGTGTGGGGAACTGTGTC